GGATAAGTGATTCTAAGATACCTGCAAAAGCATCTGACAAGGTAACTACACTGTGTGCAGAATTATTAGGCAAATTAGTATTTGGACCACATCATCCTTTTCAAACATGTTGTCCTACTCCGAGCTGTATAGGCTTAAAAGCCAACTACCAATTAAGTAAATCAGGTGGTGTGAGTCTCTGTAATGAGAAGGGCTGTGGCCTAATGACCTCAACACCCTATATAAGGTGTTAAATAATCATTAGGCAATGTCCTTTCCTTCGGCAAAATGGGTCAGAAAAGAGATTTGACAGAAAGTCAAGATTCTCAGATGTCTTTCAAAAGGGTGCAGCAGTTTGGAAATTTCCAAGCTTTTGAAGCGGGATCATCGCACAATCAAGCGGTTCATGGCAAATAGCCAACAGGGGTGCAAGAAAGCGTGTTGAAAAAGGAAGATGCAAAATAACTCCCAATGAATTGAGAAAGATCAAGCGTGAAGCTGCCAGGAAGTGATTAATCACGAGTTGCGCCATATTTCACAGCAGCAACATGTCTGGAGTGCAGAAAACCACAAGGTGATAAATACTCAGGGACCTGGCCAAGGTAAGGAAAGCCAAAAAAAAAGGCCACCTTTGAACAAGACACACAAGACAAAACGTCAAGATTGGGCCCAGAAATATCTGAAGACTGATTTCTCCAAGGTGTTTTGGTTTGATGAAATGAGAGTGAGTCTTGATGGGCCAGATGGATGGATGGGCACCAGGCTGGATCAGTAAAGGGCAGCAAGTTCCTTATCGACTCAGACACCAGCAAGGTGGAGGTGGGTTACTGGTATGGGCTAGTATCATCAAAGATGAGCTTGTGGGACCTTTTCAGGTTGATGACGGAGTCATGACCAACTTCTGCCAATTTCTGGAAGACACATTCTTCAAACAGTGGTACAAGAAGAAGTCGCCATCATTCAAGAAAAACATGATATTCATGCAGGACACGCATCAAAACACACCACAGCATGGCTGGCCAGAAAAAGTCTAAAAGCAGAAAAAATAATGACATGGCCCCCTTGTTCACCTGATCTGAACCCCATGGAGAACCCGTGGTCCTTCATGAAATGTGAGATCAACAGAGAGAGAAAACAGTCCACCTCTCTGAACAGTGTCTGGGAGGCTGTGGTGGCTACTGCATGCAATGTGGATCGCAAACAGATAAAGACACTATCAGAATCTATGGGTGGAAGGCTTTTGAGCATCATGGTGAAGAAAGGTGGCTATATTGGTCACTGATTTGTTTTTATTTGTTTTTGAATGTCACAAATGTTTATTTCTGAATTTTGAGTTGTTATATTGGTTTACCTGGTGAACAAAAAAACAAGTGAGATGGGTATATATTTGTGTTTATTACGTTGCCTAATAATTCTGCACAGTAATATTTATCTGCACACACGGACATCCTCATAAAATGGCCAAATCTAAAACAAAAACACATCAACTTCAAAATATGAAACGTTGATATTAAGGAATCTTTTGAGTCAATTGAGAACAAAAATGTGGCCCAATAATAAAAATAATCCTCAAAAATACAACTTGCCTATTTCTGCACACAGTGTATGACAGTACAGCTCTGCATAAAGCATTGCCTTTCAGAGGTTAGCATCTGCTATTCAACAAGCATTTAGTGCGGTTAAACCTACTGAGGCTGCTTTTTCTTCCTAAGGCATTTACTAAGACAACCAACCTATGTTGTCACCAGTTTAACAAGGGAACTGCTAGATTTTCAGACATGGATTAATTGCGTTGGCTCTAAAGCTCATCATCTGGACCAATGTAGGCGGGCTGAAAAATTTGAACCACAGCTTTGGATGCTGAAATTAGGGTTGTGTTGTGTCTGTGCTTGCTGCAACCTGAGTCTTGTTTCATTCCTTCCTGACTGCCTGTGGCAGTAAACAAAGCGAATATGTACCTTTGCACTTTGCAAAAGGCAAAGTTCTAATGTTAACAAAGTTAAGTAGAACACCTGAGTGTTACTTCTATAACTTATTGGGAGCTACTGTCCATTAATGCTCCTCTCGCTGAGAAGTTCCAAGTGACTGGTTTGATTGCCAGTCATCCGGGAATTCACAAAAACATAGTTAAAATGTAACTTCTGTTGATCCACGATGGTTTTTAAGTTGGAATAGTGATTCATCGAATGGAATACTGCTTCTGCATCAGATTTATTAGTGTATTATATCTATAAAATTGATTAATTGAAAATAACATAATAATGTTAAAGTCAGGGCCGTTACATACAGTTGTGCTTGAAGGTCTACATACCCTCTCATTAAAGACAATGATACCTTCACACAAGTAATTCAGTAACATAAAACTGCAAAAAGTAATAGTAAATAAAAAATTTACTAAATGATAATTTAGTAAAATAAAATATGACTTTTGTTTAAAAGAATATTCTAATAAGCCAATTGTCCCAGACAAATTAAAGTACCTTGCTAATGAACATTGAACACACATACCAACCGATGTCTTGCCTTTCATTTTTATTTATTACTTTTGTCAATTTAAACTTATCTTACTGGCAGCTGATTTTTTCTGTCTTTAATGGAAGGTTATGCAAACTTTCAAGCACAGCTGTACATGCAAACATACCTCCTGTACAAACATACATACATACATACATATATAACTGCAAAATGGATAATGACAGTAAAGGCCATAATACTCCACTTGTAAACCTGTTGAGCTTCTCCTTGGCACCAATAAACCAATTCTATGCACTGAACTGCTAGTCAGGAGTTGAATAAAAAAAACAGAAAAAAAACAACAAAAACCTTATGTCCATGTCAATTCCATCTTAAAAAATATATATTCCATTGAACAAAATATTATTATAAAATAAAAGAGGAAACCAGCTTGAATGAAACCTGCATCATCAAAGATCAGGCATCTCCCTCATATCTGGTATCATCTTGAAATCATCTTGAGAAAGCTCTCCAAGACATTCGGATGAAATGCTTGTAGATAAAATTAGATGAAAGCTTGTTTGTCTGGCAAAGGATTTAAAAATAACTCAAATTAATAAATTATTCCACATTAAACTACCTTTGATTTTTGAATAATTGGCAATTCCAGTGATTGAAAAAAAATAAGAGGTTTCAAGGAAGCTCAAAGTTCAGTAGAGGGTTTTGCAGGTTGTTGTGACCTAGTGAGATACTTTTATGTATTTTGTCTAATATTGTACACATGTCGATTTTATGTACACATGTTGATTTTATGTATACACATACATATATATATCCTGTGCGGGCAGTGCTTTTATTTTATTTTATTTTATTTACTTTTATTTATTTTAGTTATTTTATCTTTTTGTGCAGCACTTTGGAAACCTTGTGTTTATTTAAATCGTGCTATATAAATAAAGTGGATTGGATTGGATAATATTGAACAAATATAAAGGCAATTTCAAAATGAAATAATTTCTTAAACCACATATATTGTAAACCTAACTTCAATTCCATTGGCCACACTCAGGATTCTTTGTTAAATGTTTAGAAGTAAAGATAATATTGGGATTGACATTCCTTTCATCCAGGACTAGTTCAAGTCTGTGGTCTGTTAAAGGGAAGCTAACCCCTCTGCACACGGAAAACATCCAAACATAAACTATTTGGGCTTTCATCTTCAAAGACAGTGCTTTTTACAGTTTTTACAAAGTATAGTACAGTACACCAAAGCAATTGATGAAAAATGCATTTTATGAGAAAACAGTTTTTTCATTTTTTTTTATTTTTTTGCTTTTCCCTATCTTTCGGTGTTGGTGTTATCTATTGGTGTTGTTTCCCTATCTTTTGAAATTTTATGTTAAGGGTGCCATGTAAATAACATTTTCCAAACCACATTTTTTAATTCTATGAGTCAATGAATAATTTTGGTATAACAGTTTTCTAAACTCTCAGGCTGAGATAAAAGGATTTTTTCACTAATTACTGTCTGCATCACTACTGCCTGTGGCACAGGTACAAAAATGATCAAATGCTTAAATCTTTAAATACATCAAACGTCTCTTGAAACACAAACTGCATCACATGACATGTCAAGGGCAATAGTACCCAGAACCTTCTTCCTGCAAGGCGGCCGTGCTTTTCTTTGTAAATTGTAACACCAGTTTTTTATGGAGTATTCATATTGAAAATGTAACTTTCATGGATCTGACTTCGGGGGAAACTAGAGGGACAGGATTCAGAATATTATGTAAACTTCATACAGGAATGCCAGCTGATCGGGAGTGGAAAAATTATCTGGAATCTCAGTTCTGAAGATACGAGAGGAGACAGAGTCCCTGCTAATATCCTTATTGTTCCAAAATAAGTATTTGTCGTTGACAGACATAGAGAGATGTTTAATGAACATCAGTAAAGATCAGTTATTTGAAGCTCATCAGCAGAACAGTTGAAGGGGCCGAGACCTCAACACAAGATTTTAGCCAGAGTATGTCCTTTTACGTATGTCTGTTGGGAAATCTGTAAATAGATCACAACCAAAGTTTTCCAGGCAGAACAACAAGTCTTTAGTGAGGGTAAAATTATTATTGTCCAGATGTATATAGATATCTTAAAAATGTTTATAGTTAAAAAAAATAAATAAATGTAACTTTCCTAGATCAGTATGTCTACATACAAGTATGTCTTTGCCTTGAATTTCTTAAATTTCAACAGTAGTGATCATGTTTATTTAGCTTTTTTTGTTGTACAACTTATAAAAGTGACTCATTCACTGATGCTTGTATCAGAAAATGAGAGTTGGAGTGAAAACATTGCCTTGGAATTGCTACCCATGTCGCATCATCAAGTCACGCCTGTCAATGATAAAATAAGAAAGTTGTGCATTGAACCAGAGCTTAACCTTTATAGACCCATGCACAAGCAGCAAATGTAGTGGAAGAAAGATGAAAAGAACAGAGACAAGCTCAACTGCTTAAGGACTTTTTTACACGAAAGTTGTAAAAGCTGAGAAGGACATCTATACTTACCTCAACAGGGGCTGTTTAGGGGGAGGAGGTGGGTCCCCATCTTGACTCTGCTGGGACTTCTTAGTCACCTGCTTATAAATGTTCCTAGCTGTCACCCCGAGCCACAGCATTGTCGATAGAGATGAGTAGTGCAGCACAAACCCGACCTAAGGGGATGACAGAGGATGCATCAAATTATCTCTTTGACTTTTCTAAAATTAAACACTGCCGTACTATAAGCTTGTTCTCCAAGAAAATGGTAGATGAGACATTTTTAATTTTGTTTGGGAAAAAAAACAACATTTCAATACGACCTCACCCAACTTCCAATAAAACATATCAATGTCACACCAAGGGTACCTTTGGAGACACTCTTCTGCAAGACTGGTATGCTTAATTAAAACTCAACAGTGCAACAATATGCAAATACGTTTAAAGGTTCAATTGAACCATCAAGGTTGTTTGGGAGAGGAGCACGTTAGCGAGGCCACACCAGGGGATACAGAGCGATTCTTATCAGTTCAGCTAAATGACAAGAGGTGTGCACATTGAATAAAAAGTCAGAATATAAATTTGATCACGTTGAACACTAGCAGTGAGTGACTGCTCTACTCTCACAATGTTCATATCTGTACTTTTCTGCTCACTTTTATATTCATTAAATATATTTGGATCTAGAACTGATTTTACTTAGTTTAAAGGCTTTGCAAGCTTCCAGAAACAAAATACAGATAGGGATGTGACAAAGCAAGATGAGAGTTTGGGGAATGGAACAAGAAAATGAAAATGCTTTCAGCCCTTTTTGGTCTGTTCATGATGAACTGCTAACCTGAGACAACCAATCAAGTGCCTTCTCTCCAACATGATAAGCCTGGGGACTGAAGCTAGCATGCAGTGGACCAGATGCTAATTGGAAGTGTCCGTGAGGTGTTTATAGAGAGCAAAGAGCGGGTGGGAAGTCAATCACTGCTTTGGAGTCTGCACACTTCTGTTCTTCATTAGAGCCAAGAACAGACAGGAGGAGATGCTTTTTTAATAAGATTACAAAAGAACAGGAGATTTCAAATGATCAGAATCAAGCTGATTACTCACCTACAGGCTTAGTTTAAAAATGTAAAATGTGAGATGAAAAAATAACGACTAGCCTTCATTGTGGATCGACAGTTGATCTCAATCAAAAAAGAAAGGTTAAAGAGATTTTTATTTTGATCATTTATTTGAAGCATTCTTTTTAAAGAGTAGGGGAAAGAATGCTTTGAATGGTACGAGTAGGGGTGGAAACTTGTGTCCTCCACTGGCCAAGTGCAGGGGAAATTTCATCATTCTGCTTCATTCTCTCTATTCTCCCACTCTGCAGAATTTGTTAGTTCAATCTCTAACGTTCTGCTCTCTCTGCTTTTTCTCATAGTAGCTTCATCTGGTCTGTTCCTGTTTGGCTGTGACTCTTATCCTGGAGAGAAATATCAGCTTTTCTGATGCCATCAACACCTTTGTTTATAGATGTTGAGATCGGCCTGTTTTTCAGTGCAGTCCTGTTTCTCTGATTGTGTCTGGCTGGATGTGCTTTCTTCATCCTCTGATATGGGAGTTGGCTAAGTGCTTGTCTGCCTGGCTGTGTGTTTCCTGGATGGGGCCGCCTTTTACAGTTGCTTTTTGTATCCCTGCTTCTGTCTCATTGAACCTCAGTCGGCCTCGGCAGATGCTGCTTGTGAAGTGCCTCACGTGCCTCAGATGCTTAAAAGCTCATGAGGCTCTGGTCAGATGCGTCAAGATCTGCTGCTCCCGTTGCTCGAGATGCGCAGTAGGACCTTTTGAGGCGCATCAACCAGTGACTTTGCATATAACCCAGCTGCTTCTGCTGCCTCAATCAGGTGCAGTGTTAACATAGCATAAGACATCTGAACACTGGAACATTTTGTGTATAAACAGGGTGTTCAAGAGATGCAAATGAAGAATGTACAGTAAAGATCTGAGACTTGTCTGTAAATCTACCAAGTTATTTGTTAAGCTGATTTCTATTCTGTGATGTTGATTGACTGGAGTGATTTTAGTCCATCAGCATCATTTTGGAGAGCTGCAATGTCCCCAAAGCTGAAAAGAAAAGCAATTTATGTTATCAGGCCACTAATGGAGCAGAAAGTAATCTGAAAGTTATAGCTTGACAGCCAGCTGCATGAAAAAAAATAAAACACACCTCCTGTTGTGATTCAGACACAATGAGCCCCTCTCAAATCAGACAGCTGAGCAACAAATTGGCAATATAACAGAAACAACAGACCACCATCTGACACAAATGACTCATGGGGCTTGTTGGACACTGTCATCTTCTAGAAAAGCATACTGGTTGTGTCTATCTGTTCTAAACAGTCTCCTTTTTCAAAATTTCTTGACACAGACAATCCTGTGTTGATGTAGGTGTAGAAAAACAAAAACAAACATTGAAGTAGACACTGATTTGAGAAGAGGAGAACAGGGTTTACTGAAAAAATATATAGTATAAAAATATATAGTCCTTTTATAGTGCTATGAAAAGACACCCCCTTACTTATTAAGCAACTCTGAATTACTAGCTACGTTTACATGGACACAAATAATCGGATTGAAGGCCTGATCAGATCAAAAATGTTTCATGTAAACATGTCAGACTGAAGA